TTATCACAGGGAAGTGACGTTATGACGCCGGGCACGCTGGGGGCGGGGCCACGGCCATACAAGGGAAAACTCTATGTGGCCCTGGCCCTAGTGGCAGCGAGCCTGGCATCCTTAGGGCCTGGAATAATTAGTCGATGTTGTGACCCCAACCGTAGTGCTCTCTGGGGTATATATGGGGAAAGGCGGTCCCTCAGGTATGCCGGACCCTGGCCATATAGGGCTTTAAAGGTAAGTACTAGCACCTTGAAGCGAATTCGGTATGCTATTGGCAGCCAGTGCAGTGACTTTAGCACAGGCTGGATGTGCTCCCATCGAGGGAGGCCCATCAAAAGCCTGGCTGCGGCATTCTTCACTAGCTGCAGCTTCCGGATTTGCGACAAGGGCAGCCCCATGTAGAGAGTGTTACAGTAGTCTAATCTTGAGGTGAACATTGCATGGATCACTGCAGCCAGGTTGTCACTATCGAGGAAGGGACCCAACTGCCGAATCAGCCGAAGATGGTAGAAGGCCGACATAGCAGTGGCTGCTACCTGGGCCTCCATTGTTAAGGAGGGATCCAGGAGCACTCCCAAACTCCTAACCTCCAACGCTAGCACTAACGGTGCCCCATCAAAGGTTGGGAGTGGGATCCCCATCCCCAAACTGCCCTGACTCAGGCACAGGACCTCCGTCTTCGCCAGATTTAGCTTCAGCCTACTCAGTCTAAGCCAACCAGCCACGGCCTGCAACGCCCGGTCCAGATCTTCTGGTCTGGAGTCTGACTGGCTGCCCAACATCAGGTAGAGCTGGGTGTCATCAGCGTACTGGTGACAACCCAGCCTATACCTCCAGGCAATCTGAGCAAGGGGGCACATGTAGATGTTAAATAACATTGGCGAAAGCACTGCCCCCTGAGGCACTCCGCAGTCAACCTTTTGTCCCCGACCCTGGAGAAAGGAAGCAAGCCATTGCAAGGCAAGCCCTTGTATCCCCACGTCAGCGAGGCAACTGATGGTTGACCGTGTCAAACGCAGCCAAGAGGTCCAACAACAACAGTGCCGCTGAACTGCTCTGATCCAGGTGCCTTCAGAGGTCATTAGTAAGAGCGACCAGTGCTGTCTCTGTCCCATGACCTGGGCGGAAGCCAGACTGGAAGGGATCTAAAACGGAAGTGTCATCCAGAAAGCCCTGCAACTGGATCGCCACCACCCTCTCAATTAATTTGCCCAAATAGGGCAAATTGGACACTAGCCGATAGTTGGTCAATTTGGCCGGGTCCAGAGGTGGTTTCTTCAGGAAAGGGTGAACCATTGCTTCTTTGAGTGCCCCCAGGAACCGCACCTCAGGGAGGAACTTGTTGATAATCTCCCTCAGGGCACCTCAGGGCATATACAGGTTTGTAGGTCAACGATCCCACATCTGAGTTCCTTAAGAACTCTTGGGTGTATGCCATCAGGATCTGGAAACTTATTGATTTTTAATTCCCTGGTAGGCCTAGAACTTTATCTCTGGTCACTTCAGTTTGGCTCAGTTCTTCAGACCCCCTTCCTGAAAATATACACTGTTGTATGGGTACGTTCCCACACTTTCCACAGTGAACACAGAAGCAAAAAAGTCATTGAGCTTCTCTGCCGTCTCCCCATCTTCCTTTAGCAATCCCTTTATTCCTTTGTCATGCAAAGGCCCCACTGCTTCTCTGGCTGATTTCCTGCTCCAGATAGATTGTTTTTTAAAAAAACCCACATTTATTGTTTGTCTTGATGCTTTTAGCAACCTGTTCCTCAAAATCTCTTTTTTGCATGATTTACATTTCTTTTGCCAGAGCCTGTGGTCCCTCCTGTTCAGTTCATTGGGGCAGACCTTCCACTTTTAAAAAGAAGCCTCTTTACTTTTTATCGCTTCCTTGACTTGCGTTGTTAAAATCCAGCTTGACAAGACCTGAGGCAGACCCAGAAACAGTGTGACCATGTAACTGGGTCCTTGGCCTTTAGGTGCCACAAGGCTCCTGGTTGTTTGGGATGCAATAGTCCAATCAGTCACTTGTGGCACCTTCTAGACCAACACTTCTGTGCCGTCAGTAGCTTTTGTAGGCTAGGAACTACTTTGACCAATGCATAGGGTTGCCATCTCCAAGTTGGGAAATGCCTGGAGATTTGGGGGGCGGAGCCTGTTGGGGATGGCATTTGGGAAGGGGAGGGACTTCAGAGGGGTATGATGCTATATAATCCGCCTTCCAAAGTGGCCATTTTCTCCAGGTGACCTATGTCTCCTGGAGAACAGTTGGAATCCCAGGAAATTTCCAGTCACCAGCTGGAGGTTGGCAACCCTACACATGAACTGCATCACTGGAACAAAGGATGCACAAAGGGGAGAACTGAGATTTTCTACCAAGTAGGCCTGATACTGGAACCCCTTTCACTTGCAGCTGTTTAGCCCGTCGCAAAAGGAAAGCCAATAATAATGAACGTGTGCTGTTAAGTTGCAACCAACTCGTGGCAACCTTTCCTGGGGGTTTTCAAGGCAAGGAATGACCAGAAGTAGTTTGACCATTGTCTTCCTCTGCACAGCAACTTCTTTGATGATCTCCCATCCAAGTACTGACCGTGGCTAACCCTGCTTAGCTTCCAAGCTCAGGCAAGAGAGGGGTAGATTGGATCTATCAGGCTGTTATCAGCAAGGCTGGCTCCCCCAAAATTAGTTATTCTAGAATAATTCCTGAGATAGAATCATAGGGTTGGAAGGGTCCATGCGGGCCCTCTAGTCCAACCCTCTGCTCAATGCAGGATCAGCCTAAAGCAGTGATGGCAAACCTTTTAGAGACCGAGTGCCCAAGCTGCGACCCAAAACCCACTTATTTATCGCAAAGTGCCAACACGGCAATTTAACCTGAATATTGAGGTTTTACTTTAGAAAAAAGCAACTCATACATTAACTTAAGATGATCCAAACAAAGTAAGGAAAGCAATCCCAAATGCTTTCATTTACTTAAAATTATTTGGCAGACAATTCGACATTTTAATGATGGTCTGGGCCTGGCTGGGGTGATGGCACGCGTGCCCACAGAGAGGGCTCTGAGTGCCACCTCTGGCACCTGTGCCATAGGTTCGCCACCACTGGCCTAAAGCATTCCTGACAAGTGTTCGTTCAGCCGTTGCTTAAAGACTTCCAGGGAGGGGGAGCTCACCAGCTCCCTAGGCAGCACATTCTACTACTTATCTACTCCTACTGTAAAAATTACAGCTGTTCTCCGTTATGTGTATCTGTATCCCAGCCTAACCTATTAATTAATTTTTAAATTTGCATTATTATAGTCCACCTTTCTCACATAGACTCAAGGCAGATTACACATAGTGAGCCAGTACAATCAACAAAACGGGATATTCAGTAACCAATGCATTAAGACATTCGAAGACTGGAACCACCAGAAAGAACAGGGGCATAGCATAAGTATTAACATGACACATTAAGTAGTACAGAAATTACATAATAGGATCCTACTTACAATGCACTATGTACAGCAGTCAAGACCTCAAGTCCCTAATCGTTTATCTAGCCTAAGCTTGTGAAACGGTTGTGTACTGTGCCACTACCCCCTATATATAGGGGGTAGTGACTGTGCAGCCTTTATCACTTGCACAGAAAAGCCTTCATGAATAGCTCAGTTTTGCAGAGTTTGCGGATGGCCAGGAGAACGCGGGTTTTCTTGACCTCCTTGGGCAGGCCACTCCACAAGGTGGGAGCCACAACAGAGAAAGCACAGGTGGACGGGCAGTGGTGGCCACAACAGAGAAAGCACAGGTGGACGGGCAGTGGTTGATTTTGCCCATTTGCAGGTTGGCACCCGCAGAAACCACTGTTGACATGAGCGGAGTTGTCATGGTGGAGCATAGAGGGACAGGTGGTCCCGAAAATAAGAGGGTCCAAGACCATGAAGGGCTTCGTATGTGATAGCCAATACCTTAAACTGAGCTTGGTGACAAATGGGCAACCAATGGCGGTGGTGGAAGGCGCTGTCAAGTCACAGCTGACTTGGGGCGACCCCATAGGGTTTTCAAGGCAAGAGAATTTCAGAGGTGGTTTGCCACTGCCTGCCTTCGTGTCATGATCCTGGTCTTCCTTGGAGGTCTCCCATCCAAATACTAGCCAGGACTGACCCTGCTTAGTTTCCAAGATCTGACAAGATCAGGTTGGCCTGGGCTATCCGAGTTAGGTAGCCAATGGAAGGTTTGCATTAGTGGAAGATGGAGCTCTCCTGGTACAATGAGGGTGCACATTTTGATCGCTTTGGTCTCCAGCTGTGGACTGATGGGTCCTCTGCACATTAGTTCAAGCACAGATGGACACAGAGTGTTGTTTTCTTGGGATAGCAAGTTCTTGACAGGTCTAGAGGCATGTGCCATTTCCCCCCCGCCTTCAAATCTTCACTTGTCTTCCAGGTGGAAAATGTCACGACATTGGCGCCACAAGGTGGAAGTTGCCGTCCTGAGCTTCGTTGGGATCACCGGGTTCTTGTTCCTCCTTCAAAATGACAAGAAGGGCCCTGTCTTGAAAGAGGCGATGGAGACTCCCGTCACCATCCCACCGATCATTACTGGACGACCCAAGCCCATTGCTGAGTGCCAGAGGAACGTGACGGTGGCCAACATCTCTGGGTTTGCCGGACTGCCCGACCACATCAAGGACTTCTTGCGATATAAGCATTGCAAGGAGTTCCCTCTGCTTCTGGATATGCCGGATAAGTGCGGAGGCCCAGACAACTCCTATGACACTTTCTTGCTCCTCGCCATCAAATCATCGCCGGGGAATTATGAACGGCGTGAAATCATCCGCAAGACTTGGGGCCAGGAACGGACTTACGCAGGCGTCAATATCCGGAGGCTCTTCTTGTCTGGGCAGGTGGCCAATGCTCGGGATGCTAAGAAAACTAACCAGCTCTTGAAGATCGAGGCAGAAGAGAACGGAGACATCCTCCAGTGGGACTTCCTTGACAGTTTCTTCAACTTGACGCTCAAGCAAGTCCTCTTCCATTCCTGGATGGAGGCCCGCTGCCCCGGCGTCCGTTTCGTCTTCAATGGGGACGACGACGTCTTTGCCAACACAGACAATATTATCCACTACTTGCTGGATGTCCCAGGTGCAGGAGATGAACACCTCTTTGTGGGCCAGCTTATCACCAACGTTGGCCCCATCCGCGAGAAGTGGAGCAAATACTACGTGCCAGAGCAAGTGACTGCCTCCAAATCCTACCCCCCTTATTGTGCGGGCGGGGGTATCCTTATGTCTGGCTACACTTCACGCACCATCTACAAGGAATCGCTGGGCATCGAGCTCTTCCCGATTGACGATGTGTACTTGGGGATGTGTCTCGAGAAAGCAGGGCTCAAACCTTCTTCCCACATGGGCATCCGGACAGTGGGTGTGCGGGTGCCTTCCTCCAGGTTGGAGTCCTTTGACCCCTGTTATTACAAGGAGCTCCTCCTGGTCCATCGCTTTGTGCCCTACGAGATGCTGGTGATGTGGAGAGCCATCCACCGGCCCAACTTGATATGTGGGAAGAGAATGGAGGTCTATCAGAGTCTCTGAAGAACCCCGGGGTTGCATCGGGGGCAGGGTTTGGAATGGACGGTGATAATGGACTAAATATTTATTTTGATTGGCTTGTATTTGGCAGCTAGTAACTCCTAAAGTGACTCTGTTTGGTGCCCCCGTTGTCCGAAGGAAGGGTGAGCCCCACTTTAGGGAACCTGATGTTGAAATAGGACTCGAAGAAACGACATTGGAGGGTGGATGATGGTTGACGTGTTCTACAACTGTGGTGTCCAAAGGCAAACCTAACTTGATGAGTTGCTTCTGGTGAATTCTTTCTAGGGTTGCCAATCTCCAGGTGGGGTTTGTAGTTCTTTAATTACAACTGACTTTCAGAATAAGAAGATTGATTCCCCTGGAAGAAAATGGTAGCTTTGGAGGGTGGATTCTGTGGGGGCACATCCCTTCTGTCTTGTCTCCCCCAAACCCTGCCCTAATCAGGCTCTGCCCCCCCTCCAATCTCCCAGAATTCCCCCACCTAGAGTTGGCAACCCTTGGTCCCTCCATGGTGTTTCAAGGTCTCTTGTAAGGTGAAGCCTCCAGGTCACAAACACGTCTAAGTAATGTCTCAGGAATACTAACTGACAGACGCTACCTCTTAGAGCAGATGTACCCGCTTCAAAGCCCATTGACTCCCGTGGACTTAAGGGGGTGTAACTCTGTTTAGGATTGCACTGTTAAAGATTCAGGGGTAAGACAATTGAGAGATGTGAAAATCTGTGATGGTGTGGGGGGAGGAAGTGGGATTAGGGTCGCCAGGTCCGTCGGAAACACCGGTGGGGGACGGAGGGGGGGGAATGTTAAGGGAGCTGGGAGCGTTGCAGTGTGGTGTGCCTTCGTCACCAACATTGGGGGTGATGCTCTGGTTTTTGGACAGAACTCTATGGTAAAATCAGCCTCAAACCATAGAATTTTGCCCCAAACCCAGAGTGTTGCCCTCCCGACATCAGCGACGTGTAGGCATGTCGTGTTCATGTCTGGTGATGTTGCTGAGGGGTGGGGGGGATTTCCTCCTGCCAGCCAACCCGACGTCAGCGACGTGTAGGCATGTTGTGTTCATTTCTGGTGATGTTGCTGAGGGGTGGGGGGGGATTTCCTCCTGCCAGCCAAATGGCCGGTGGTGGGCAGGAGCCCAGAAAACCAGGGGATCCCCTGCCCCCAACTGAGGAATGGCAACCCTATATAGGATTCATGGGCTTCACAGTTTTGCTCAGGATTTACAAAATTCTCTCCACCGATTCAGTTGTTGATATTTGTAGTTACCCCAAAGGATGCACTGGACCGTAGGGTGGTTGGGTCAATGAGACCTTTTTTTGTTTATGGATCATGTTGGGACAAATCTTCAGGAGTTTGGAAATGGTTGTGGAGTGGAATTTCCCTCTGGGTGGGGCCTTGGCCTTCCCTCGTTCACTTAGTTCTGGCACATAAACTCCTGCCAGGCTGGTCACTGTTCTTGGTTTGCCCAACCAGCTGCACCCAGAGTGTATGAGCTTCAGAACAAAAGTATCTTGTTTTAAGATCCTGAAATAAACACACTTCTTTTTTTAATCAGTCTCTGAATTGCACAATATCTGTCTTATTGTTTTGATATCATATCACTGTGTTTAAGTTCCTTATCCTGATCGGTCCCGCCCCTTCTCTGTGACGAGTGCTTGTTCGGTTGGCTGCGTGTTTCCATGTCCCATAACGTTGGCCCAGGGCCTAGGTTTTGACAGCTTATTATGTGAAAGGGATTGGCGTGGGCCCAAGTGGAAACGGAGGTGAAAGTGGGTGACAGAACTGACTCTGGAAAAACTGAGGGCTTTACATACTAGAGCTGACATTTCAGGTAACACAACATTTCTTCCTAAAGAATAAAGAATTGCCTTGTGGTACAAATGTACAGGAGCTGCGGTGGCTCAAGTGGTTAAGACGCTGAACTGCAGGCTGTGGAAGGTCGGTAGTTCAGCAGTTCGAGACCCGAGTGTGCCGCATGACGGAGTGAGCTCCCGTCTCTAGTTCCAGCTCCTGCCAACCTAGCAGTTCGAAAGCAAGAAATTGCAAGTAGATAAATAGGTACCACTTCGGTGGGAAGGTAACAGCGTTCCGTGTGCCTTGGTGTTTAGTCATGCTGGCCACATGACCACGGAAATGTCTTCGGACAGCGCTGGTCTTCAGCTTGGAAACGGAGATGAGCACCGCAACCCTAGAGTTGGATTCGACTGGCTTTCGAGCAAGGGAACCTTTACCTTTACTTTTTACAAATGTACCGTTTTTTTTGCCCTCAGGCTTGGCGAAAGAGAATGGGGAAGGAGTGCCACTGGGTCTGACAGGTGGGGTGTTTTTTTTACCCCATTCGGATCACCCCCACCAAATTATTTTAGCATGGGGAGGGGGTGTCAAACTATTTTGCAAAGAATGCAGTCCCCTCCCCCGATCTTGGCCCATGGCTTTATGAAGTACACGGAAAATGCAGGATGGGATGTTTGTTCAGTGGGTTTCAAAATAAACCTGACTCGATTTTCTAAGTGCTCTCTTGTTTTAGTGAGCTCCAAAGTAGTAATTTACGGATGAGATCAGGATACTTGCTTAGCCTTGCTTGTGGAGGGTTATTTCTGCCAAAAAAGGGGAGAGAAATCTCGACTCACATGTGGAACTTCTTTAGAGGTGTCGGAATTAGCCCGGAAGTCTTCTTCCTCTGATGGTGCCTTGCTTTGTGGAGACATGGGGGGGGGGGCTGAATCCCCAAATGAACACAGCCGGCCCTATGAAAACCGGGCAATCTGTCTTGCTCTAGGGCTGCCAACCGATGCTCCTTCTAAGCTGTGGAGTCTTGCGAGCAAGAATTCTACTTTGTGAGCTACTGCCATTAAAGTTGTGAGCGAGCAATTTGGCTCATGCATAAATTAGTGTGCTCCGGAGCCATCCTTCCTGAGCTAAGGCAAAAATGTGCGAGCCGGAGGCTAAAAAAACCTGTGAGCTGGCTCACACTAACTCAGCCTTGAGGGCAGGCCTGTAGCTAATGCGGGGCCAATGGGGGCCCGGCCCCCTAGCATTTCTTCTGGGGCCCCTCCCTCCCAGGCTGGACCCAAATTGAATTAATGTAATTAACTTTGATTTAATTAGCTGTGCCCCCCGAGGCCCCCTCCCCCCAAAATCCCTAGCTACGGGGCTGTTTGAGGGGACACTGCTGCCAACCTTCGGGTGGTACCTAGAGATCTCCTGCTATCGCAATTGATCTCCAGATGATCAAAGTCAGTGAGTTAGTGTGAGCCAGCTCACAGTTTTTTAGCCCCTGGCTCACACATTTTTGTCTTCGCTCAGGAAGGATGGCTCCAGAGCAAACTGATTTATGCAGTATCCAAATTGCTGGCTCACAACTTTAATGCCAGTAGCTCACAAAGTAGAATTTTTGCTCACAAGACTCCACAGCTTAGAGGGAGCATTGCTGTTGACCTCCCCCAAGCACCAAGAATACAGAGCATCACCTGCCCCAGATCCATGCCTTGTGGCTAATAGCCACTGATGGACCTCTGCTCCATATATTTGTTTACCAAAATGCAAATGACTAGAATTAAAAACATTTGCAACCAAATGTATGGAAGTGGGAAATATTGTAACATTCATTCCTATAAATCTGTCTACCCAGGGGTCATTTGGTAGAAAAAGAGGTGCGGAGCTCATTAGCATAACTCATTAGCATAACATCT